TCTCTCTCTCTCTCGCTCCGTGTGACGGTACCTGTGGCTATGAGTGCCCTCACCTCTGGACGGCCTTACACTTGCTAGTCCACCAGCACCATAGGATGGGGGAAGGGGGGGGTTGAGAGGGGGTGGGGAAGGATGGGGGATATGGTGTAGTTGGTGGCGAGCTAGCTTTGGTAGTCAAACTTAGGGGAGGGAGAGAGGAAGAGAATAATATGCCGCGTCCGCAACCCGATTACGTGTACGTGATGATTGGATGATTGGATGATTGGATGCCAAGCCGTACGCGGAGCTGGGGGAGACAACAGTTGCTTCACTGTTGCTTCGACGGGATGGATGTAGAGAGAGCTTGCTTGCGTAGATCTCTCGTTCTCACCTGTTTCATGAGAGGACTACGTGCGAGAGCAACGACCCGACAAACGAACTGGAGACACGCAGGCCCTCAGGTCAGGCAGCGAACAGGACCGAGGAGCGATTACGTGCACATGAACAGCGGAGTGCACACTGGGGAGTAGAACGACGCGCGCTTACAGACGTGGATAGTCATAAGAAAGACTCCCGCAAAAGAAGTCATGCTGTAGGGGGGGGTGCTGCCTTCTGGAACCCTCGGCACAATACCTTGTTGCAATTGTGCACAAACAAAGGGCCTTGCTCCACTACGGGGTAGTAACCGAACGCACAAAAGACAAAAAGTGTGGTGGCGTATCTTTCCATGTTCTAGGGGCACATTCATTCTCATTTTGCACATTTGGTGAGTAGTAGTGCAGTGAGGCCCAAAACTAGTACCAAGAACTTTACCAAAAACTTGTAGCTCGCCCCATTTCCCACCGATTTGTTTGTATTTTTTGTATGTAGCTCGTGGAGCGTACCTGAGGCCGCGTGTCGAGGCAAACAAACGTGGGGTCTCCAACAATCGCGGCAAACCACGTAGGCATTGCCGTCATTCTTCAGCCAATGCGAGCAACCAGTGATGCAGCCGAGGCGACTACATTTAGGGAAAGTTCTGTTCGAATACAACGCCGGTACGCTATAAAGCGAGTTTTTTAGGGTACAACTTTGTAGGAGCTAACGTCGTTTTATGTTTTTTTCTCGAATCCAAAAGTGACATTATAGAAACCAAACAGACCAGGCCACATTTCAACCGGGAGTTATCCTGGCAGCATTAGGCTTGGACCCCACTGGGCGGCGGCGTGGAAAAGTTTTGGCGAGGAAGTGTTTTTCAGACCCCACAGGTGTTGGAAACCGTCGTGGAAAGTCGGCCCGGAAAGGAATTGCAGACCCCACTGCGGTTGGAAAGAGGTCGTGGAAAAGCTGACGGGGCGTTTCTACTCGGCTCGCGGTCTGGAAATTTTTGGAAACGAGTTTCCAAACAGTTTCCAAGGACGGCTCCAGACGAGTAGGGGGGGGGCATGGAAAACAGTTTCCAGGATCGGGCTGGAGGTCGTGACATTTTGTAAACACTTCATTGGCTGCGCAAGCAGACCATGGACCACAGCCCCCGCAGGGCTTGCCTTTTCGGGAAACACCCTGGTGCGATTTCCTATTCGGGTATGCCCAAACTTTTCCAATGCGAAACTATCGGCCTGCGGTGGGGTCCCAATGAAATGAGGAAGAATGTTTCCAACCACGGTCAGCCATTTTTTATGGCCAACACCAGTTTCCAGCCGCCGGCCAGTGGGGTCCAAGCCTTAGGCCCTCACCACACCACTCTTGAAACGGGGAAATTTTTCAAGAGATGTTAGACGTTCTGAAGAGTTGGGTTTTCAAAAGTTTTTGGCCCCTCCTCACACAGCACTCTCGAAAGGGCGATGGTGTTGGACAAAGGATGGAAAACGACAGTCATAC